AAAAAAAAATATATTTTCTTATAATTTAGCTTTTTTGAGAATGTATACTTGAACAAGTTCAAAATTCTAATGACTGGAGTCAACCAATCTATCAACTTTATATACAGATTATAATTGCCACAATTTCTTATAAGTTTCATTGTTATTCAATGACGTCGGTAAAACAACTGTGCAAATTGCAAAATAATATTTTCATCAAGAATTTAACACTCATTCTATGAACAGAGGTATTTATCTACAGTTTATTTTGTATTTTGTATTGTAATACGAAATTATTTTCCTCATTTATCCCATATATTATTTAAATACTAGGGGATATTCATACTAGAAAAACTAGTGAAACTAGCAGCAACTAGCAGCAACTAGCAGCGACTAGCAAGCACTAGCGTGTTATAGTCCAAAGCAAATGAATTGAGGCATGTAAAATATATTGTAGCATGCGTAAGTCGCTTGCAAACGAACCAAGTGAATAGCGGAGACGCACGAAAACGAAATGAGTGAATAGCGACAACAAACGTTGTTATCCGTTGCCGCAATACACTTACTTCGTTATCGTGCGTCTCCGCTATTCACTTGGTTCGTTTACAAGCGACTTAAGCATTACTGTTGTTTCTTTTATGTATCATACGATACGTTTAGGTAATTTCAAAACACTAGAAAAACTAGCAGCTACTAGCAGCACTAGTGTACTCACTAGTAATACTAGTAAGCGATTAGCGAATACGTAAATAAAACTAGCTTACTAGAATTGCTACGAATGTCCCCTAGTTTAAATATGTGCAATTTTGTACAAACAACTGTTCAATATTTCATGTTTAAATTTTAACTCCTTTCATATACTCACTTGTCGTCCAAAACCGAGTTTTCATTCCTTTCGGATCGAAATTTACCGATTACGGGGAGGAAAGGTTAAAATTGATTACGGGGAGGTTAAAAAAAGCCTGGCAAATCGAAAGAATTTTTCTCGTTGAAAAACCGCACCAAAAGAATTCTGCTCATCTTCACTTTCTTGCTGGAAAACACCAGAAAATTCAAAGAAATACTGAGTAGCCGCCAAGTTGATTTTACACCCTCCCCGATGCCTAGGTATGTTATTTACCATAATATCGCTCAAAAACGAAATTTTTAATGGGAAGTACCCTTAAAATGCATTGAAATTTCTTCAAACTTTCAGAATATTAACTTTTTTAACATGATCACGATATCATATAGGCATGGCTGCGATACAAAAATTCCCATTTTTATTAGTTTTTGTATGAAAAGTGCTTCGAAAATTATTTGTATCGTAAAACTAATATCAGATTCAGTTTTCTCGTGAATTCTTTGAGTAAAAGATTTGTAATAAATGCATGTTGTGGATCACAGTGCGGAAAAGTTCATCTTACGGATGTAAGACATTTCATTTTATTAAGCTATATATATTCGGCATCGAAATATTCTTTAATTTAATAGCAGAAGTACTCGCAAAAGATTTTTCACACTATCGTGATGAACTCAATTGTATGACATTTGAAAGAATTCTATTTTCTAACAAAGCGCTATAAAAATATGTCTGACAGACAGAATGTTATTTTTTGTGTGAAAAATAGTCTGTGCAAAGTTTCACGTCATTACGGTAGCGTAAAAGCATGGCTCCCATACAAAAATTCAATTTTTTGTGGGTTTTTCGAAGAAATTGTATCAAAAATTGATTGTATCTCAAAATTAACCTCGGATTCGGTTTTCTCGTGCCAAAAAACCCCCAATACATATTTTTGAGTGTTTAAGTCTACATTAAGTATGACTTTTGGACGAAAATTGAGCTCTTTTTCATAGGTATCACTCCAGGCATGACACTTTTTTCTATCAACCAAAGTCGCTCAAAATCTAATGATTTCTATTCCTCGCGACTCCCAATCATCCTGTAAAGTCAGATTTTGAATTAAGTTTCTACGATGGACGCAATCTTGCTAACAAATTTTGCGTACGACGTACAGATTAACAAAAACTATGTTTAAAAACGCCAAATTCGTCTTCTCTGACCTCAATAAAAGGTAGAAAACATGTTTCTGAAGTTTTCAAAATTTTGACCGATTACAATACTTTTCACCTTACACTATGTGTGCGGAAAAGTAATAAAAACGTGTGACGATTTTTTTTTGAAATGCCCAAGGAGAATTCTTCGAATGAAAAGTAAACAAAAAATTATCTCAAGTTATAAGTAAAGCAAAGCATGTCATATGACATTCATATCAGAGGAACTGTTTTTGCGGGAAAAAATCAAATTTGCGTTTGGAATGATAATGATTAAAAGCATAAAATACAATGACATCATGTTGTTTCATTCTATTATCATCAGTTTTTGTCATGCGACGAAATTTCGATTTAAGAAGAAACTTAATCAACAAATGAGTGCAGTTGTTTTTTAACCTCCGAGCTGAATGTTTGGATGGGAATTCTTTTAATTTCTCAAACAGTTTAATTTTAGTGTCGAATATTTTAGTCGGTGAGAGTTTGTCAATTTTTAAAATGCATGATACGGAGTATTCGAAACATATATTTGGAGATTGATAATTATTATATTGAATTTATGAACAAATTGCTTCTTTGGATCCGTGTGTAAAAATATTGATTGATTTTGGACGTTTTGATTTTCTATTCGTCTAGAAAATATTTATTTTACTTTTCCGCACACACCGATTGTGTAAGGGGAAAGTATTGCAATGGGTCACGACACCTCAAAAACATGTTTTACGACATCTCAAAAACATGTTTTCTGGACGTTTCTGAGGTCTTCTCTGTACAAAATTTGTCCATCGATTATCTCACCCCCCAGAAAAGTTATTTAAAATCTGACTGTACAGGATGATTGGGGGTCGCGAGGAATAGAAATCATTAGATTTTGAGTGACTTTGGTTGATGGAAAAAAAATGTCAGTGATACCTATGAAAAAGAGTCCAATTTTCGTCCAAAAGTGATATTTAATGTATTTTTAAACACTCAAAAATATGTATTGGTTGGGTTTTTGGGTACGAGAAAACCGAATATGATACAAATAACTTTCGACACACTTTTCATACAATAATTTCAAAAAAATTGGATTTTTGTATGGAATATGCCTGTATGATATCGTAATGAGCTGAAACTTTGCATTGGTTATTTTTTTCACACAAAAATAACATTCCGAGAGTTTGAAGAGATTTCAATGAATAATAGGGTACCTCTCGAACAAAATTTTAGATTTTTATGCTCAAAAACGAAAAAATTGTATGGAAGGTACCACTCAATTGTATTGAAATTTCTTCAAACTCTCAGAATGGTAGCTTTTTGTGAAAAAAATAACACCTGCAAATTTTCACATGATTACGATGCAAGATATTTTATTTTTTATAGTGTTTTGTTAGAAAATAGAATACTTTTAAATGTCGTACAAATGGGTTCATGATGAAAGTGTGAAAAATCTTTTGCGAGTACTTCTGCTATTAAATTAAAGAATATTTCGATACCAAGGTTTGAATATATTTTTTGGTCTCACACTTTACGCCGCTTGAAAGGCTTGAAAAATCGAACAAATATTATTTTGAACTTAATAAAATACGCAACTACCGCCGTGCGGAAAAGTTCATCTTACTCCCGTAAGACTCTTTATTAATATTTTTGCGATATTTTCGAAAAAAAAATATATTTCACAATATTCCAGTATTTTCCAAATATTTTGTGATAATTATATAAAAATTAACAATTTATTCGCGTTTGAAAGTTGTTTTTTTGCCAGGATTATATATTTTGGAGCTATCAATGCCCGATCGCATATCAAAAGACTTTGTTTTCAATAAAATACGGTATGCTTCGACTTAAACGGATTTTGAATTTTTGGTTGATTTCCCATTAGTCATCTTGGAGTTAATTGCGCACAGATTATTAAAGCATCGAAATTTGTTGCGGTATTCCCAAACCAAGTGATAATTTTTTGATTTACGTCGACATTCGACTTTAAATGGCAGGATGTTTCAAACGCAACAAAATATAAAATACATGAATACACTATAATCAACGTTCGCATAAGCGCTTATATATATATGATACCCAATACTCATATTCAAAAGTATATTTATAAATATATTCGGTAGCAGAGTCCGCTATCAATTTCATGTGCGAAAGTCAGACTAAAAGAAATGTAAATTTAAACGATCATTTCACTTTCATCTTAATTCGATTATGGTATGTGTAGAAAGATTGATATTAAACAGACATTTTCGTTTCTATTTTCAGTACATTCATTTCCATTGTTAAAATTGAATTTCGTTTAAATTCAAACAATGAAGTCACTCATCCTAAGCATTCTATGTTTTAGCGCAGTGGTGATCAATGTCACTGCAGGTATGTTTCATTTAAGATAAAATCTAATAGAGTAGTGTGTGAATACAATTTCGGTTGAATTAATTCTTGATTTTATTTGTAATTAGATGACACAGAGGATTTGATACAAATTAAACAGTTGCTGAGAATCGGAGTGAACCTTGATCGCTTAGATGGTATTTATAACTTGGGTTTATTTGCGGCAGCGGCAAAGGGTAATTTCATACCTTCGACACTGTCAAAATACGATAAATAACCAAAATGTTTGACTCTCTATTTACTCAGGTCAAAGCAATGTAGTCAAGTTTTTGATAGATAATGGTGCAAATATTAATGAAAGATATCACGGCTCTCCGATACTTTATATTGCCAGTTACAATGGTAATAAAGTTCAAATTTTACGATAATTTTGAAGGAACTTAATCAAAGCCATAAGAAAACCTTAGATTTATTGCCTAAAACGATAAAAAATAAAATTCTCATATAGAAGGCGCTGCATTCTATGCAAACTTGTTTTCCGTTGCAACGGACTAAGTGGAAAGTATAAGCTTATTACATAGAATGTAGCGCCAATTATACATGAATTTTGTTTTTCTATCATTTTAGGCAGTAATCTTATCGCTTCTTTTAAAATTTAATTAAATTAAGGTCACGATCATGTTGTCGACATACTGATCAAACATGGTGCTAAAGTAAATTTAACAATACATGACGGTTGGACACCGTTAAATATGGCCGCAAGTAGAGGTAACATAATAAGTAAACGAAATATATTTGAAAACATAATTATGAAAATATTTCGTAAAATTTGCATCAAAATCATTTCCATAGGTTATCTGCGAATTGTTGAACTGCTACTTACAGCAAAGGCAGATATCAATTTTCCGAACGATGATGGGGAAACGCCGTTATACAGCGCTGCAAAAGAAGGTTGATTTGTTTTTCATTTGTTTGGTCATGAATTCAATTCGCTCTCCTTTATGAACTAAATGAAAATGTTTATTTCTCATTCAAAATTCAGGTCGCGAAGATGTTGTTTACGTGCTACTCGAAAGAGGTGCTAATTTTGGCAAACGAGAAAAGAACGGATTATCACCATTGCATAAAGCAGTTGAAGGAGGTATTAAAACTGATGAGGAAATTTATTTA